AAAATATTTAATTTACTCTCATAAAGAAGGAAAAAAAACAGAAAATATCCAGAGACTTTTGACTTTTTTTAATCATTAACAATCACTCAAGGGGAATAATTGATTATTAAAACAGTTAGCTAATCGATTAATGGTTGCAGCTTAAGATTTTTTTTTGCTCATCAGTAGTGAGGCGGTCTTCTGTTGTCAAGGGAAACAAAGTAATAATTGCATACTAGCATTTTAAATTGCACCGTTTGGAACAGAATATGTGTTATTTTAATGATTGCAAAATGTGAACTCAGTTTAAAATGACAAGTTTTGTGGCTGCTGTCACTTTGAACTGACCGTCGTCTTAAACACTTAAAACATTTAACATATAGTCGAATATTTTTGGATAAAATTTTATATTAAAAAACAGTGCTGTGTAACAAAACCTTTCCCTTCCGTGTTTTGTTGTTATACTTCTACGTTACCTACCCGTCTTATTCAGAGCTTCCAGCTTCCACATGTGCATTGTTTACACATAAAATTGTATCCAGGCTACAGTCTGAACTTTATTTCAAGGGAATTTTGGCAAAACTTTGATTGTTCTCGTAAGCAGCAGGTGACAGATCAGCTCAGCTTCTTGCAGTCCATTAAGAGACAGGTTGACTGCTTGCCCAGGTAATCAGAGTGCCTTTATTCCTTCTCTGAATCTGCTGAGCTGCTCATTTAGACCTTTGGAAGAGTGTTTGTCTGCTGGTTCAACAGTCAGCTGTGACCTTGAGTGAGCTCATGGATACAGGCAGACTAACAATGCTTAAAACCTCCATCGAGAGTAAAGGACATGAAGTTGGACAACACTTCTTTAATTATAACACGTGTAGTGCCACTTGTGTTGGAGAGGAAGGGAGAATGATAAAGGAACTGATATGTTTTATGACCTCATTGCCCTCTGTGATTGCTAAATGTACCCTCTGAACTCCAAACCCCTTTAAAAAATTTGCCAAAGTTAGACTGTATTAGAGCCAGGAGCTGGAAAAAAAACCAATGAAATAATGATCTGATTTTGGTTCTTGAGCTGCTTCTCTGTGCCATTCTGTTGGGAAAACTGACCATACCTAAGCTTAATAAGTCACTTTATTCTACATGTGTCATTTTAAGAAAATGCTAAAAATAATCTGTGCGCTATAACCAGACTTGTGCAGCCATTAGTGATTTATCTGTGACAAAAAAAGAGACTTTTTTTTGTTGAACTGCAGGCAGTGTTTACACAGAGGAGACAAGTATGGAAACAAATAAACATGTAAATAGTAAAATATCTGCAGTATGTAGAGCCACCATTTCTTTCCAATATTGGTAACACCTGTGTCATTAAGGGTTTTTGCAATTTTTGTAAATAATCAAAAGAAATTCAACTTAAATGTTCACTTTTTTTAGGCATTTTAAGTGTGTTGCACTGCACAGAAGACATGTCTGATTTCTCTCTCGTTTATGGTTGTGCTGTTTCTGTAGAGGTGCATGACTTTATGTTGTAGTAAAAAAAAAAAAGAGCCCATAGTGAATAACAGGACCAGAGAAGAAAGTGTTGGGGTTCAGCTGGTTAATGCTTCATGTAGGTGTGCACTGCAGAAATGGTAAATATGATGAGTGTTCATAGCCTGTCAGTCAAACATACGAGTTCTGAGCTTTCACGAGCAAAGCTATGATCCGTGGTCACATGCTAAAGATTTAGCAGCTCAGCAACGAGCTGAGAAACAGCCGAGTACGACCGAAGTATCTTCAGTTTTCCTCATTCTTGACGTCCGTGGAACAGACAAGCCTCCTCGTTCTCGGTTTGTTTCTGTGACGGCGCCGAATCCGTCGCAGGTTTTTATTGTGCTCAGCAGTAAAATGTCTTCTGCAATCTTCAGTTCCTGCTTTGAGCTGAGTTGTGTTTCCTGTCCTTTGACCAAGCAGAAGCTGGCTGACCTCATGTGTATCACCCAACTGAAAAAAAAACCGATTAGGCAAGGTTTCACTAACGCACAGCAGAACTAACTGCTGCTGGTGTCTTGGTATGCTGCGGCATGTTTGTGCCAAACTAGACATGACATTTCAAAAGTTTTGACTTTCCAATTCAGCCTCTACGTTTGAGCCTCTCCTTGAATGCCTGATTCAAAACAATTTTATTGATATCATCCATGTCTTCTCAACCAGTAAGCAGTTTTTCTTGGTGTTTTTTTGCACATTTTTACTCACTGTGGGCTCATTTTTCACTACAATACAAAGTCCTGCACCTCTATGGAAACAGAGCAGCTATGGCTAGAAGGAGAGAGAACTCAGAAATACCTGCTGTGCAGTTTAACGGCATTTAAACTCCATAAATCCTAAAAACTGAAAAAAAAGAGTAAATTTTCTTTATATATTTCTTATACAATTTTTTAAAAACCTTGGAATCAACATGTACAGTGTGTTTCCAAGTGCCCACAGGCATTACCAATAAAACTAGAAAAGTGAACTGTTACTACTTAATACAGATGTTTTACTACTTACATGTTCAATCTGTCTCCATACGTGTCTCCTCTTGGCTCTGTGTAAACACTGTCTGCAGTTCAGCCAAAAACAATGTGAATTTTGGTCACATGGTCACAGCTGAGTCACTAATTGCTTCATGATTGCAACAAACAATTTTTTTTTTTTTTTTTACAGAATGTGGCAAATCCATTTTTTTCTTGGGTGATTTCTTTCAAGTGACACATACAAGCTTACATTCAGACATTCCTACAGAATTTCACATCACAGATAAGAGGTTTAAGGACATTTTGCAGCTGTGATAACGAACTTTAATATCGGCTCGCTTTTAAAGATATTATGCTTTTCAAATACATCTATTAAATTCCCTTGCAGTAGATTTATTATCAGTACTGATGTAGAAATGTCACTATTTTAAACTTGGAGTTGGTTTATTTTCCTGATGGAATTGCACACCACATACGATTACTTGGGGCCGCAAGGTGGCTCGGTGGTTAGCATCGTTGCCCCGCAGCAAGAGAGGCACCCGGGATCTTTCTGCGTGGAGTTTGCATGTTCTCCCCGTGCAGCGTGGGTTCTCTCAGGGTTCCCCAGCTTCCTCCCACACAGTCCAAAAACATGTTGAGGTTAATTGGTGATTCTAAATTGTCCGTAGGTGTGAATGTGAGTGTGCTTGGTTGTCTGTCTTTAAGTGTAGCCCTGTGATAGACTGGTGACCTGTCCAGGGTGTCCCCTGCCTTCACCCTGAGTCAGCTGGGATAGACTCCAGCCCCCCATGACCCCATTAAGCGGTGTATATAGTATATAAAACGACACAGTTTATGATTTTCTTCTCTTACCCAAAAAGTAGGACAATAAAAGAAAACATCTGTATCATCAAAATGATAAATTATCTACGTTATGGATGCAGCATATGAGCATTTATAAAATAAAATTCACAGAAAAAGTGACAGATGTTAGAAATGTATATGCTGTAGATTCAACAATGTGGATGTATGTGTCAGGACTGTTCATTTTAATGGAGACAGACTGAAAAGACACTTGTCAAACCCTATTTATAACAATTTTTGTATATAATGATGCAGATTTTTGATCAGCAATGACGTCACATAAGTGTTTGCCTGATTCACCACAGGTTTAGCCGTATAATGTCTTAGAATCTAAATTATATTCCTATTTGCTGCTATTAAATTGGAAAAGGCCACAGAATTTGGATTAAGTACAAACGTCAGGTTAGAGGAACTGCACTTTTAACGTGTGATGTCGTGGTTCATTTTTAACTGTAAGATTCTGATGTGGTTTCGATGGCGGAAACCAACCACAAAGATCTCTGTCTGTCTGGTCGTGGCTTCAATCGGTGGTGGGACATCTGTGACGAGATGAGTCACAGGAGCAACTGTTGAGCTTTTGTTTGGACGAAGCTTTAAGCTGATTTCTATACAGAGATGTTTGTTTTCATTGACTCCGTACATGTGTTTATTTTAAACCTACGAATTCTATGCAGTAGATTATTTTATATGTGTATTTATTTTATGTGTTCAAGCTGGAGTAAAGCAAAAACAAGTTTCAGCTGTTCTGGAGCTGAACTGTGACTTTTCTGACAGATATTTCCAATTTAATTTAAGCTTTAATTCAATATTCCATGTGTAATATATTCACAACGTGATGGAGTGTAATCACAGAGGATGCCATCAAAATGTAAACTGCCCTGTATTCTAATGCAAAGGGAAACATTTACAGATATAACTGGCATTCTGCAATCAAGTTAAATAAAGTAATAATAAATAAATAAACCTGGTGTCAGACGCTTTGAATAACGTATACCGTAGACTGCAGTCTTGGTGATTTGCTGATTGCATAGTTTCAAATTGTTCATCCATTTACACGCCGGTAACGTCAAAGTACAACCTTGTGAACAGATAGAGGACAGAGTTTCAAAATAAGACACTGAGTGATTTTCTGTTGCATCTATTTATACTAAACAAAGTTAAATAATCCCTTTTATCCCAGTTTTGAGGGAAAGATTTAAAACTGTTTGGTGGCCACTTTAACCTAAAACAAAAGCTTTAGTGCTGAGGTGATTCATCTTTTTCTTTTTCTTTTTTTTTTTTCTTTTTTTTTACAGGCAGTTGCTGTTTTTTTTACTATACATTTTTACAGTATAGAATATAAATATTTATGAAGATATTTGTGAAAATTTTGTTTGATATATGACATACTTTCAGAGAGATGTTTTTTATTGCCAACTTTCAGCATGTTTCTTTCGTACGTTGACATTTTAGGCCGTGTTGACGACAATATCGCAGGAACTATTGAAGATAAAAGCCTGAAATTTTCCCCATTATTTCTCATCATATCATTGATTTGCAGTCTGTAATGTTGAACATTTATATCAGGTAATTATGGGTGAAGTGAATTCTGAAAAGTAGTTAAAGCTGTCATGAAAAGTTCCATCATTGAACCAACATTAACAAAAAAGAATTCTTTGTTTTCTCGAGTGTAACTGACTGTATTGTGTTTTCCAGCTCCTACTGGTGAGGCCTCTTCTTCCATCCAACTCTGCCCGACCCGAACCAGCTCATCTTCCATCCCGCCGCACCAAACCCAACCTCCAAACTCGACCGTACGTCCTCTGTCCCCCCCCCTTCCGGCTCCTCCCTTCCTTCTTTCTGCCGGTTCTGAACGCTGCGACATGGCAGGGCGAGGCGGACCAGCACGGACCAACGGCACGGCGGCGAGCAACAAGATATGTCAGTTTAAGCTGGTGCTGCTGGGAGAGTCGGCAGTGGGGAAGTCCAGCCTGGTGCTGCGCTTCGTCAAAGGCCAGTTCCACGAGTACCAGGAGAGCACCATCGGAGGTGAGAGTTTTTCTCTGATTCCTAGAAGTAGTTTTGCCCACAAATGTACTGAAGTCACTGCCTTCCTGCACTGTGAAAGTTCAGTATAAATGGACATTAACTCTGAGTTCTCACACCTGAACTTTATTGGGTACAGCTGCCATAACTTCTACTTTTTTGTACAGTGTGTTGAGGCGGCCATGAAGGTGATAATTCCACTCTATGTTCATTATTGAGGTCGGGGCACATGATGGATGTACTACATCATGTTCAAGTGTTCTTAATATTTTGTAATAAATGAGCATTGCAGTATATTAGGAACACTTATCATTATAATGGCGCCACCATGACACCCCCACTACCCACTATGTCCTTCATATAAAGCGCAAAGACACAGAAAAAAAACCCCAACGACAACTGAAAATGTAGATGCTGTTGTGTTGAATTAAATGAGCGTATGTACCTGTAATAACACCGCTGTTCTGGACGCATGCTTAATTCTCTAATTATCTTGTACTCGCTTTAAAAACTTTCCAGCGTGAGTGTTGAATCAGAACAAGAACATGTCCTTGCCGGTACAGAGGAACTGCTTACTTGCAGGTCTTAATCTTTTCTGTTGTGCTGCAGTAGAAGCGGTATAACCTGTTCTCTGCAGCTGATCACGTGACTCATACACGGCAGACGTGCTGATTTTGTTTTTTTTTTTTTTAAAGTTATTTTTTGGGGGGCTTTTTTTGCCTTTTATTGTATAGGATAGTGAAGAGAGAGACAGGAAAGTGGGGAAGGACTTGCAGCAAAGGGCCATGAGCGGGATTTGAACCCATGGCTGCTGCATCGGCGACTATAGCCCCTGTACTTGGGTCGCCAGCTCATAGCGGCGGCCTGGATTACTGTTTTTTATGTTATCAAGCTGCTCAAACTTGCTTATCAAACAGCTTTAGGTTGTACTTAAGCGTGAGGCTACCTGAAACAAGAGGGATGTTGAGACAACAGTCGGGATTTCCTGGCCCTCCTGTTGATGAGTGATGCTGACCTCAAGAGATTTGTGACGTTTTAAAGCAGGAATATGTCTGTGATGCTGAATGTGAGACTCAATGGTTTCTCTACATGATGGTGTAAATCCTCAGTCCAGCTGGGTAAACATTTCCTCTGCAGCAGCTGACTGTTCAGACAGGGATCGTTGTTCTGGAATTAACTTCACTTTCCGAACCCCGAGCAGTTTTTGGACATTTTCACATCATGTTTTTTTCTCCTCACTGTGGCTCATTTTTCACTGCAATATAAAGTCCTGCACCTCTATGGAAACAGAACAACCACGAAGAAGGAGAGAGAGCTCAGACATGTCTTCTGTCAGTGTGACATCGTTATAAAGCCAGAATTCAGAAAAAAAGAAAGAACTAAAGTTGAATTTCTTTGATTATTTATTCTAAAAATTGAGGGGAAAAAAAAGAAAAAACTGGAAACACTGCCGTCTTTACCCTGATTAGCTGTGATCAAAGCTCATGCCTTGCATAGATTAAACAGAAATATTTGTCAGAATGCTGCTTACTGTGACTGTACCAAAGCTAAGGCTGCAGAATAGTGGAACAAATTTGATATTTAGTGTTTCAGAGATTTTTAACAGATGGCATAAATAACTTTAATTGGAAAGAATGTATTATTCTAGATTGACTGAGGTGATTTTGCATGAGAGTGCAGCTGCATTGCAATTTCAAAAATATTTTAAAAAGGCAGAAAAAAGCCTTTATGGACCTGGATTAAAGGGTCAATCGAACTGTTGCCTCATGTGGTGGCATCTGTTACAAGACGCTGCTGACAGAGCGATTGTCTTTGGTCAACATCATCCTTTCTGTGGCAGAAATATTTGCCTTTTTCACGTCTAGGCTGTCCCATGCTCATTTTGCTGTGCACATGTGCTGCCTACAGTCAACAAAACCTGTATCATGTTAGTGAAGTAGAAAATACATAAACTCAGTGTACAAGAATCCCTAATTCGGAGTAAATAAAAGTTTTCTTTTGTCGATTAATTGTGAAAAATGAGAGCCGT